AAAATTTATAAAATTTTGTTTTGTGGCTTAGATTGATATTAACGAGATTGATATTAACGGGGATAACCTGTACTATGATTATGCACCACGTGACTTGCGAATCACCAATTAAAAATATTTTACTAACTATATAAAATTTCTTTAAAAAATTTTTTTTTTGTTAATATTAGATAATCATACTAGTGATCTATATTTATTTTATTCTTGCTACTGCTAATAACAAATAACAATAAATCTGTAGTCTGATATCATATAGCTGTTTTAATAAGTTTCTATATATAATTAATCTTACTAATAAGACAAATTAATAGTAGTTTCTAGAGAATATTTAACTGATATTTGTCTAGAATCTTATCTAAAAAAGAAACAAATACTATATTAGTCAACCGATTTGTTATATATTTTATATATATAAAAATATATAGAATTATATATAAACTTTGTTGCAATGATGTTTCTTTATTTACATATTAACTTTAAATTAATTTTACGAATAAATACATTAAGAAAAGGTGAAAAAAACCACATTTTAGACCAAATAAAAATATTGCAATTCTAATACAATTTAAAAATGTAACTTTGTCAAAAGAAAAAATTTAGCAAATTTAAAATAAGAATTATATGTAAAATTATATTCTAAACAACTTCAGTCTAGATAACCAAAAAGGTTATCTTAGTAAAAAAAAAGTTTTCTATGTACTAATGTTAAAATTTTCAGTTTTTCTATATAAAACTTTTTTTTTGCTTAAATAACTTGTTTTGACCTCTTAAGCAAATTTGTTTAGTATATAATTTTACATATTTTATATCTTGCTAATTTTGTTTTTACTAAGTGAAAGATTGTGTCAAAAGTTACACAAAAAATTTTTTTTAAAAATTTTTTAAAATTTTTTTAAAAAATTTTTTTGTATAATCTTTGATTCAATCTTTCACCTAGTAAAAAGTTCAAAAAAAACAAAATTAGTAAAATATAAAATATATAAAATTATGTGCTAAACAAATGCTTAAGAGATCAGAACAGATTATTTAAGTAAAAAAAAGTTTTATATAGAAAAACTAAAAATTTTGATATTAGTATATAGAAAACTTTTTTTTTACTAAGATGACCTTTTAGTTACCTAGACTATAGTTGTTCAGAATATAATTTTATATATAATTCTTACTTTAAATCTGCTAAATTTTTTCTTTTAACAAAGTTACATTTTTCAGTCTAAAACATATTTTTTTCGTTTTTTTTTGATGTATTTATTTGTAAAATTTAATTTAAAATTAATGGGTATCTGTAAGCCCTTTGTACTAAATTTAGTACAAATTAAAAAAATCATTATACAATAGTATTACAATGAATTTTATTGATATTTTGCTAAAATATATATTAAATCTCATATTTTATTTATGCAAAAAATCCAACCATATTTATATATAAAATTTTGTATAAATTAAACTTATATAAAAAATTATTTTAGGCATTTTTGCTGTATTTAATTTAGTACAGTAAAATTTTATAAATATTTTTGTAAATTATATAATAATAATTAAAAAAATTTTATTTATAAATTGCTTAAGATCATATCTTTATTTTGATATATTTTTTATAAATTTAAAATATGATTACTAAAGCATTTAATACATACTGCTTTTAAAGCATTACAAGTACAATAGTATCTTGTTCTAGTACTACAATATTTATAACGCAATTGTGGATAAATGATTTTACCATGTCTTTTCTTTTTTTTTTGAAAAGTTTCCAAATTATATTGTATTTGAGATGTATTAGAACATGTTTTTACCTCTGAATTTTCAATTATACTAAAATTTCCATTAAGCATTTCATGAGCTAATTCTCTTCTAAAATCAAAATAAGAGATATTATATGCATTGTTATGCTATTTTTTATATGTAAGAAAAGCATTAGCTTCTGCAATTCCTAATAAAAAAGAAAATATACGCATTTGCCAACTTGATCCTCACATAATATCATGAAATGATATAATATTATCACGCACCTAATATATAATATAAAAATTTTATATAATAGTAATATATTATATATAAAACATATAATATAAAAAATTAACATACTTAATTATTAATATCCACGGCCCTTTAGCTTGTGAGTATTCATAAAAGACTTTAGGTCTTGTAAATTTAATAGTTGTTGAGCCTGTATTATTTTTAACTACACGTTCAACCTCATCAGCTTTTGCTGTTGTAGATGCTGTTGCAATTATACATTAAGGTTTTCGATCCCGTAAAAAAGCTGCTATTAATTGTACATCATCAATTGTTGTAACTTTTGATACACAAGATTCGTAAGTACTATCAAGTTTTTCAACCATATCTTGTGGATAATTGATTGGCCATCTACGCCTTTTTTTTACATGAAAAATACCGTACAATCCATTTTGCATTAATGCAATACAAAGTTTAGATGAACCGAACCAACTATCACCAATTACTATATGACTACTACTAAACTATGGTTGTGTTAATCGCAATACATATGCTGTGAAACTACCATAATTAGAAACAAATCGCTTATTTTTTTCAATTTCCTTGTCTTCACAAGGTTCTAATTGAATAATAATATTTGTTAAACCATCGGCAAGAGTTTTCCATTCTTGTCCTACAGGGTATGGTTTTCGTAGAATTTTGTGACAGCCTGGAATTTTATTTTCAGTGCCTAACTATGAGTTCATTGACTCATCAATACATAACATACTTCTGGGAATTACAGTCTCATCTAAGTTTGTATTAAAAGCATTAATAAACCTACGAACTGAAAATAATAGATTACTACTATCAGATATTTCTAATTCATTTGGCATTATTAATGTATGATACGATACTATTTGTTCAAATCATAGAATACTCATCCAATACTGAAAATTAAATGGTAATAAAGGATGTATATCTTGAGTTTTCTAATAAAAGTGATGATCGCTCATAGGAATTATAGACATTAACACCCAAAGCCCTAACCAGGTCATATACTTATTGATATTCATATCAACCCAATTCAAATTTTTTCTTTCACATAAATTTATAGATTTAATAATGTTTTGTTCAATATAATTCATAGGAAGATATCGACAAAATATAGTATAAGATGAGGCTAAATTAATAGATACAATGTTAATTTTACATGCATAGCTATATATTAGATGAATTGCATGTTGATCAATTTTTACTGATTGTTCTCGCCATTTCACTGTTGTAGTTAGGTCAACTTCACTAATGTCACTAACATCACCAGCATTATCTTTCTCCTCTGAGCTATTTTCACTATATTCAGGAAGATTTTGTTGAGTGGTCAAAGTTTCTGCAACTTTATTATTTGAAAGGACTTGTTTTTCATAATGTAAATTTCCTTCACGAATATTTACAACCAAATTTCCATCTCCAACTTCGTCAAACTTTACTTGAAATGTACGAGGTACTTCAGTCGATTCTTTCATAACCCAACCATAAAGGTATAAGTTTTTTAAACTTTCATCACTTTGTTGTATATATTGTGAAATAATATCCTTTGGTAATACTGTCACTTTACAACTAATCTATTCTCTAATAACTATTTTACTTGAAATTCGTGGCATTGTTCAGATATATGTAAAAATGGTAAATGAATATACTTTTAAAATTTATATTTTTATAAAAAAAATTTGAGATACGCAAAAGAATTGTATAATCAGTACTTTCGCGATTTCTTACATTAAAATTGCAAAATTGACAATAAAAGTCTCAGGAT